TGTGCAGCTGAGGAGGGGTTAGCCCCGCTGTGTGCAGCTGAGGAGGGTCTGGCCCCCTTCAGGCCCTTTGCTCTCAGGGATGGAAAGCTCTTTATCAGCCGAAGCTAATGTGCCCAGCTTATTCCTGGCTTATTCCGTAACACAATAAGATCTGGCCTTTAAAGATGGCTGGTTCTTTCTCTCTTCTCCATTGAAACAGTTGGGCTCTCACCTAATAATTCCCTTTTTGCTCTCATTTCCTCAAATCATGGTCACAGAATCCGCTGACAGCTTTTAAGTTTTATCGCTTCCTTTTAGCTCACGTCAGTGTTTTACCAACTAAGAAAAGGGATGCAATGTCAGCTTCAGGTAAACGACTCCTGCAGTTGGCAGTTGGATTCTCTTTTGATGTGGTGTTGTGCGAGTTTTCTGGAGAGATGGGGTCTAGATGACAGACAAAAAAAAAAAAAAAAAAAGAAGAAGAAGAAGAAGAATCCAAAGCTAGGCATGGTGGCATATGCCTTTAATCCCATTGCTCATGAAGTAAGTAGAAGCAGGTGGTTCTCTGTGAGTTCGAGGCCAGCCTGGTCTACATGGTGAGTTTCTGGACAGACTTAGCTACATAATAAAAAGACCTTATCCCAAAAACCAACAAAGAAAAGAGAAAGAAATAAAAAGCTCTACCCAAGCCTAATGGATTTTCTGTAACGGACAGGAGTGTGGGTGACAAAGGCAGCTGTGTCACCCCAAAGACCGGTCTCATGAGTGAAAGTTGCAGCCCATGTTCCCCTCACAGCATGAAGGCCACTCTGCTGGAGAGCACCTCTCCCCAGCAATTCCTGCTTTCAAACCTCTGAGAAAGGCTTTGCCCACCATGTAATCTGAGTGAGTTTCCTGAGCCTGTGGGCTTCCTCGGCTTCCCAGGCCCTATGAATCTCTTTCTCGCCCAGCAAGGAGGAAGTGATAAGCACCTGATATCTGACTTTGTACTAGAACCTCTTCACAGCACCCACTTCATTCTGGGGCACCACAGTTCCTTCTTTCACCTCCTTGTGTCTAACCCACTAGAGCCGCACAGCTCAACCCAAGATCACAGGGCAATAGGTCAGCCCATTGGGAGAAACTCGTGTCCAGAGTACAGCCCTAAACATCCTGTAGTAACCAGGGAACATGGCAAGGAAATTATGATCATAGCAATTATGATCCCTAAGTATTGCTCCCCTAGGGAAAGTCATGTGCAAGTTATAGCCTTAATCCCAGCACTTGGGAAGCAAAAGCAAATGGATGTCTGTGAGTTCAAGGCCAGACCAGACTACACAGAAAGTTCCAGGCTAATGAGGGACACACAGTGAGATCCTGCGTTAACAAAACACCCATCTAGAGACCAGTTAGTAAAACAAGCTCACACTCAGGGGTCGGGTTGTAAAACCACAACCATAGACCATTATTATAACTAAAGGAAGTTTAGTTAGATCCCACTTACCCTGCTGTTCTATTGTCCCAGTACAGCCATTGTCCCAACACAGCCAACCACGGTTTGTCGCTATTGTCATTCAACGCGCTCCTGTGTTTTGTGAAATGAGTCAAAAGTTTGCAAGGCAATGGTCTCAAATCAGAATATTTTTGTTTTAAAAACAAACAAAATCATATTGCTAGCCAGGTGGTGATGGATTTAATTCCAGCACTCAGGAGACAGAGGCAGGCAGATCGTTGAATTCAGGGACAGCTAGGGCTACAGAGTGACTTCTGGGACAGCCAGAGCTACACGGAGAAATCCTGTCTCAAAAAAAAAAAACACAAAAAAAGAAACAAAACAAACAAACAAACAAAACCCACCGGAGCTGGAGAGATGGCTCAGTGGTTAAGAGCATTGCCTGCTCTTCCAAATGTCCTGAGTTCAATTCCCGGCAACCACATGGTGGTTCACAACCATCTGTAATGAGGTCTGGTGCCCTCTTCTGGCCTGTAGACATACACACAGACAGAATATTGTATACATAATAAATAAATAAATATTTAAAAAACCACAAAAAAAGAAAAGAAAGAAGGGAGGGAGGGAGGAAGAAAAGAAATTGCAGGCACTGAACATTGGGGAGGAACAGGCCAGAAACCTCTGCTGGTGTGTAACTTATCATGTTATCAAGGAAAGAATAAACTAGGCATGGAAAATGACAGCATGATTCAGGTGGAAGTGTCTGATGAAGAGGATTGTGTAAAGAGCATATTTTTATCATTCTGCTGGGTTTAATTTTGCTTATTTTCAGGCTAATTAGATGGAGTTCATTCTAACAGTCGTTATAGAGTGTAGCTTTAGTTTCTTACAGCTGAGCTGGCATCAGTTGTCGACTGCCCTGGACCAGTCTCAGTTTACATCCTTCGCCGTGAAACCATATTTTTTTTCTCATGCAGCTCTCCAAGCTGAGAGAAACTTGGGAAACTACATCTTACAAGTGTCTACACACGGTTGTAAAGCTTCAGTTCATGGAGCAGGAGCTAGCAGCGATGAAATCGGAACAAAAGAAGTGTGGACGCCTCCTCGAGAACCACAAGAACTTAGAAGAAGAAGTTCTTCACTGCAGAGGCTGGATGCGGGGACACGCGGTAGGTGGTGAGAGCTGTGTAACCCGAACAGAGCGACGTGCTTGAATTCATCTCAGCACAGTGGTAATGTGGACTATATCCCTTGTGTTTCCTCCCCTTCCCATAGCAGTTGACTCTGTAGATTTCTGAACAGCATCTGTCTCTTCAAAGTTTTCAGTATATGCCATTATTCTGGTTTGCTTTTCTATTGCTGTAAAACAAACCACTGATTGAAAATAGCTAGGGGAGGTAAACTGGCTACTTTTATGTCAACTAGACACAAGTTAAAGTGATTTAAGAGGAGGGAACCTCAGTTAAGAGAACACCTCCAGCTGGGCAGTGTGGTGCACACCTTTAATCCCAGCACTCAGGAGGCAGAGACAGGTGGATCTCTTATGTAGTCCAGCATGGGCTACAGACATTCCAGAACAGCCAGGGCTACACAGAGAAACCATCTCAAACAAACAAACAAAATAAAACAAAGAAAATGCCTTCACAAGATCCGGGTTTCTTAATTAGTGATTGATGAGGAGGACTTCTGGCCTCCAATTAGGGGTGGTGCCCCCCGTGGGTGGGGGTCCTGAGATCTATAAGGAAGCAGGTGAGCCAGGAGTAGGGAGCAAACCTATAAGCCGCACTCCTCCATGCGCTCTGCATCAGCTCCTGTCTCCAGGTTCCTGTCCTGTGTGAGTTCCTGCCCCGACTTCCTTCCACGATGGACTTGGAAGTGTAAACCAAATAGACCCTTTCTTCCACAACTTCTCTTGGTCCTGGGGTTTCATCACAGCAATAGCAACCCTAAGACAGGAGGCACGTGTTTATAACAGGCTTCCAGGTCCTATTCACACTGAAAGAAACTAACGCAGGAGCTCCAGTGAAGCAGGGCAGGCTTGATCTCCATATATCCTTGCCCACAGGCCAACGCAATGGAGGTAATGCGTCAAGGGAGGTTCCTTCATCCCAGATATGCCTAGGTTAGTAACAAGCTTACAAAAAATATTATTGATCTTCCACAATATTTTAATTAGACAATCATTTGTGTCTTAAGACAATTGAGAAGAAAAAAGTTCTATATGAAGATTAAAACACACTCTTAAATATTTCCTTCATTTGCAGTTATGTTTTTAAAATGTTTTTGAGTTTATTCTTTTGTTCTGTGACTTATGAAACTACATTGGAGCTAGCATGGGGGTGACTCAGAACACAGGGCTCCAGGTTCAAAGGAAAACAATATACCATTTTTATGTTTTAAAATTTTTAATAGTTTTTGGTTTTGGGGTTTGGGGTTTTGTGTGTGGATGTGGGTATGATTTTTCAAGACAGGGTTTCTCTGTATAACAGCTCTGGCTTTCCTGGAACTTGCTTTGTAGGCCAGGTTGGTCTCAAACTCACAGAGATGCACCTGTCTCTGCCTCCCGAGTGCTGGGATTAAAGCTGCCACCACTACCCGGCTTTAATCGGGTTTTGGTTTGTTTGTTTGTTTTGTTTGAGACAGGCATTCATTATATAGACCAGACTGACCTCAAATTCAGAGATCTACCTGTCTCTGTCTCTGTCTCCCACGTGCCACCATGCTGGCTTTATGTGTTAAATATAAGGCAGATGACATTAGTAATAAAAATTTTAAATCCCAGGATCTTATTTAACATACTTACAACTGCCTGTGAGCTGATGATTCTTAACTAAAGGGAACAAGAGCAAAGTAGTTGTCGAAAGTTAATTATTTGGGAATTTTGTACTTTTTGCTTCAGATCCAAGCAAGACATCAAAACAACACTAAGGATTTAAGAGATGCGGATGAAGTGGTCACAATAGGTGAGATGGAACTCAGAATTAAGACCCTGGAATCTCAGCTGGCCACTAGGGGAGCTCAGCACAGTCTCCAGGAAGAAGTGCTACCCTCTGAGCAGGACTGTGTGGGAGAGCGTGGTGTGACACAGCCCCTGAGAAGAAAGCTGGGTGAGCAGGCCAGCCGGAGTCCCCGGAAATAGCGGAGCTTGTTGGTTTGTCTCTGGCACAGGTGGACAGGTGCCGGGGACCAGACCTCACAACAGACTTGGAGTTAGAGAATGAATGTGCCCTGGACTGCATTCAGGCCTGTGTACTTGTTTCTCCCCCTTTCAGTCTGGGTTTCTGTGGCCTTTTGCCCCCAATGCTCTCTTGTAGCTAACATGGTTCATTAGTCTTTTAGATTAATATTCTAAAGTTTTCTAAATAAGCCATTTATGTTCTCATTAAGCTACTTTTTGCTGTTTTATTGAATGAAAATCTTAACATGTGTAACTATTTGGGGAGTATTACAACCTGAACGGCGATGCGTGTTCTGACATGGGCAGACTTTCCTGGATTGGGATCTTTGGTGTCACCTATTGGAGGGTCCCTGTTGACAAACTGTCATTGGCAGGTTTTCTAGATTGTGTAAAGACATACTTATGGTGCAGGAAAGAAACACAAATGAAGGGAAGAAAAAAATCATAAAAATAACCGCATGGTCAGTGTGAAGGGGTGTGTGAACCTCAGAAAGCGCGGCCCCCTGGTTGGCTTGGTGATGTCACAATAGTGGATGCAGGAGCAGCCACTCTCACTCCTGCTGGTCACCCCAGAGTTGGCTACTCTCAGTCATCCCTCAGTGCCAAATAGGGTCCAGATGAATTGTGCATAGAGGAAAAGTAAAACCGAGAAATGACTTCAAGGAATGTTTGGTTTTTTTTTAACTCCTAAGCCAATTTGAAAAACACAAGTTACTTCTAGATTGGTTTTCAGTTTTATTTTTAATTAAGTACACTTAAGAGCACAATGATTATTAATAAATGTATGTATAGCATGATGCTTTTATAGTTAAACAGATGATTATACCCATCATCCACATAATTTTACTCCTTAAAGTATAAGTATTAGGGCTGGAGCGATGGTTCAATGGTTAACGGCATTTACTGCTCTTCTGGAGGACCCAGGTTCAAGTCCCAGCATCCACAGGGCAGCTCATCACCACAGTCCCAAGTGATCCAGTACCTCCTCCTGGCAGCCCAGGGCACTCCATGCACACAGTACATAAACGCACATGCAGACAAAACACCCATACGCATAGCAATTAAAGGAATAAAAATTCCTAAAACAAACATTTTCATGGCGTCATCAAGACTTTCTAATTTACTTTTGTTAATTCTGTGTACATGTGTGGGTGTGAGCACATGAGTGCAGGTATTCACAGAAGCCAGAGGAGTCAGAGCCCCCTGAGCTGGAGTTCCGCTGGTTGTGAACCTGAGATGTGGGTGGTGAGAACTGAACTCGGGTCCACTGGAAGAGCAGTGATGTGATCTTAACTGTGGAGCCATCTCTCCAGCCCATCTTCAAGAATGTTGTCAGTGGTCCCCTTCCTTCCAGAAGGCACAGCATTACCTTCCTGTTTAGTTGTCTGTCTCACTTTGTTAGTCACCAGTTAGTTCAGAATCCCTCCATAAAATGTTTATTTAAAATAATTTTAAATCTATAATTGTATACAGTGGCATTTTTACCCTTAAGACACTGTCTAAATGAAAATTCTGTTGAATCATGTGACTCCTTTTAAGATACAAGTTGCTTGGGGAGGGAGATACATTCTGAAGTCTGCAGTCTCATGGAACTAGAGAGGCTGGAGATGGCCGGTCCACAACCTCTCCAGTAGGAGAGAATTTGGCCAATAATTCTGAAAGATGTTCCAAGTGCCCTTGCAATGAGCAGCTTCATGACAGTATTGCTGTGGAGTTTGTGACCCCTGGGAAAAACTATAGACTTAGTCTAATTATAGTTAAAAGACTTATTGGTTAGCTGCTAGCAAGATGATAGCCTTAAAGCTGAATCTTGGGCATGTCATGAAGGAGGGATATGGGGAAAGGGTTTTTTAAGGGCAAAACCACAAGAAGACCTTCAAGCAAGCAAAAGTTGGTCTATTCTGGCAAGTTTAAGTGACTAAGGTCACTCAAAACAATCTTTGGATATCTGTGTAAGAAATTTACAAAAACAAAGAATGCAGTTGGTTTTATCATAGCAAGTAGATGGTCATGACTGGACATTTTGGGTGGAGGTCACTGAGTCAGTGTTGCTAGGAACTTTTCTTCCAAGGACTAAGTCAAAGAAGAATGAATGGTGGATACCAAAGACAGATGCCTAGCACAAAGTGCATTTCCTTTAGCCATTACATTCCCACTATCATATGAATCAAGTCATTAATACACATTTATATAGAGATAAAGGTTGATATTTTAATTGTGTTGAATATATATATATATGTACACATACATATATGTGTAAGTAGCCAGTTTATGATTCAAAGGCCAATACAAAACAAATTCCATGGGTTTGCGTTGTGTGCATGTGTGCATGTGTGCGTGTATGTGTGTGTTTATTGTTTTGGTTTGCTTTTTATTGTGTTGTTTTTGGTTTTTTGAGAGAACATGACATTGGGTGGTTTGGAAGGAGGGAGAAGATCTGAGAGCAATTAGAAAAGGGGAAAGAACGTGATCAAAATATATTTTATGAAAAAATTTAAATAATATGGTGCGGGGGAATTGTCTGTATTCTGTCAATCATATTTTAAATAAATGCTGATTGGCCAGGCAGGAAGTACAGGTGGGAAAACCAGACAGGAAGTACTGGGAAGAGTCAGGTATTCATTCACCAAGTGTTTATAGGCTGTCATCCAGGTCCATGACCCTGTGAATGGAGTGCAGAACCTACAGGTAGTGACCCTGTGTGTGCAGTGCAAAGCCTACAGGTAGTGACCCTGTGTATGCAGAGCCTACAGGTAGTGCAGATGCAGTGCAGAGCCTACAGGCAGTGACCTGTGGATGCAGAGCCTACAGGTAGTAACCCTGTGGATGGATGCAGTGCAGAGCCTACAGGTAGTGACCTGTGGATGCAGCGCAGAGCCTACAGGTAGTGACCCTGTGTATGCAGAGCCTACAGGTAGTGACCTGTGGATGCAGTGCAGAGCCTACAGGTAGTGATAGGGTACAGGAAAGAATGGGCTCAGTCAAAGCTAGGACTGCAACCTGTGCTGTGAGGGGACCAAAGAGGTTGTGGCAATGACAGAGAATGATGTAGGGCAACTGAGAAAGGCTCACCCAGAAGGTGACTTAACCTAGGACCTGAAGGAGACAAACTAGTCCTGGAATAGAAGGAATGTTTCTGAATTCATTCATCTCTTTGTTAATTCATACGTTACTGTGAACCAACTAGATAAAGTTCTAGCTTCTAGGGAACCAGAGAGAGCACCGGTCCAAGGAAAACCCTTTCTCTCACGGGGTCTGTGTTCTAGTAGAGTCAGACTAGTTCAGAGACTGGCAAAGCTGCTGGAAAATAAGAACCAGGCTGTGTATCAGAAAATGCCTATGGATGAGGGAATGTTTGGAATGGGATACTGAAGATCCTAGCACATGCAGTGCACTCGGTTCTAACTGCAACATTACAAAAAAAATATGATTATTAGAGAATTAAAAATGACAGCTGTGACTTGTTTTAGATTCTGTCGTGTTGGCCATCGAGCTGGTGCAGTGTAAGGATAAAAGCACCAGGGGGCAGTAGTGGTCAGGAATCTGAAGAACATCTCAGAGGACGTCCGGGCGGGATGCCATTGGCGCGGTTCTTCCTGCCACCACCTCTGCCCCCACCTTGTCAGAGCGCTGCTGTTGAGCTCCGTCCCTGCATTCCCCCATCTCTTGGCTGACACAGGTGAAACTGAGAAAGAGGCAGGAAGGGTTCCAATGAGTTGACTGCGCTGAGCGGCCCAGGAAGTGGCTGGTGTTCAACTGCAGAGTTTTCTCACCTCCTTGCTTATCACTTTTGGCTGACATCCTCCCGGCAGGGGAACAGTTCCACCCCCTGGGCTGAGTGGGTACCAAACAACAGGTGGTGGCTAAGGTGAACAAGGCAATAAAGTTCATCAAGGTTAATTTATGGGAAATAAATGCGACTGTACCCCATTTTCATCTATTAACATTCTAAACACCTTGTTCAAAATGCCCTGGAGTGTTTCTAGCTGCCAGGAAAACTCATTAGGGAGAAAGAGCAGCGTGGTGACGGCGGGTAGGGCTGAATTCACTATATATATTTATTTATATTTTATTTATTTGTTTGTTTGTTTTCAGGCAGGGTTTCTCTGTGTAGCCCCTGCTGTCCTAGAACTCCTTTTCTAGACCAGGCTGGCCTTGGACTCACAGAGATCCACCTGCCTCTGCTTCCCAAGTGCTGGGATTAAAGGCATGCACCACCACCGCCTGGCAGGTCTCTCTACATATCCATGACTGTCCTGGAGCTCACTCTGTAGACCAGGCTGACTTAGAAGCCAGAGAGCCACCTCCTCCTGCCCGCTGAGTGCTGGTATTAAAAATGTGTGCCACCATGCCTGGCTCAAGCTGAATTCAACTTTATCATCAGTACCCCATTGAGACCCCTGCTGGCCCTGTTGAGTGGCTTATGGTGCTCTCCTCAAGCAATAGCGTCTCAGAGACTTTTATACAAGAAGATATTCGCTGGGCAAGAAGACCCCTGGAAGCCCAGATAAGCATGTGCGGGTAGGTGTGACTCCGCTTTCAGGTACAGGTGACATCAAAGCAGAGAGGCTGAAGACGTAAGCACAATCTACTGTGGAACTGTGCCGCAACACTGCTTTTTACTTTCGATGGTTGTATCTTTCAAAGTGGGAAACTTTATTGTTTGTTTAATCAGCTAAATTGTTTGTTTTTGAGGTACTGGGGACTGAGCCCTGGGCTTTGTGCATCCCAGGCAAGCACTATACCCCATCCCACAAAAGTTTTTTTCAAGTATTTCTTTTTTAAAGTTCAATTTAGCTATACTCCCCTGTGGTTGTGTCTTGGCTTCTTTCCTGTTACTGTGATAAACACATGGCCACGACAGCTTTCCGAAGAAAGGGTTTATGTGGGATCGTGATTCCAGAGGGATGAGAGTCCATCACGACAGGTACGTGGCAGCAAGTGGCAGGTACGGCTGCAGGAGCAGGGGCCAAGGGCTCACATCTTGAGCTACCAGTTGGAAACAGAGCAGAAACTTGAAGTGGCACAAGTCTTGAGACTCTCAAAAGCCACCTTCGGTGACACACTTCCTCTAATAAGGCCACACCTTCTAAAGCCTCCCAAACAGCAACATTAATTGAAAATCAAGTATTCCAATACTATGGGGGTTATTTCTCATTCAGCCTC